GCCCTGTTTGAATTTGAATAAAGTTTGGAATTTGAACATGTGTTCTATTATATGCAACACACATTTGATATGACCAACTTTTACATTTGAAAAACACCCTCTAAGCCATGTTAGTACTTTTTGAGATATGATTGCGTTTCAGTGAAACCCTAAAAGTCGGACATCTTGCAGCTCTATACTTTGTGATGTAGTGTCCTTAACTGCAAGACCAATATTTTTTTTTTAGGCCTGTAAAATAATACTTTGAATGTCACTAAATTCAGTTCCACAGCAGATCTTGCTATAAATTGTTTCATTTCATTTATTAATTTTGGTTTATTTTATATAGATTTTAGACGACGATTCTTGTCTCTGTTGTCGTATCAGTTCAAGACTTATCAGCCTGGACTTGCATTGAATGTACTCCATCACAAAGACTACAAGCCAAGTGTTCAAGGTAAAATTTGTTGCCTCTGAAAAATTAGTTCATGTGCCTAACTACAGAGGTCCCAAGTCTACCGCTACTTGCGGTAGTCTACCGCTTTTAGCAACGATCTACCGCGCTACCGTAAGCTTACGTTTTTCTACCGCATGAAAAAAATTCTCCCGTTAATTTTTGAAAATTTGAGTAGGCTATTTAATTTTGAATATCAGCTTAGCCTAGGCCTAGATAAAAACATAGCTTGTTAAAAAACAATCGTAAACAATCACAAATAAGTTTATTCCTCTCCCTACCATCACTATTTATAATGCATTTGCAATTAATTATGGTAGCTGCTGAAAACAAGGAATCACAATGCACTTTGTTTATTAAAAAAGTTGATGCGCCCATCCTTTTGACGCCCGGCCTGAGACCATGCCAGCAGTGTGATTTGATATCTAAACAACTCCGTAAACAACACCCCCTTTGACCCGCAGAACAAGTCTACAGCTAACTTTTTGCATAAAGTTAATTTTATCGAGCTGTTTCATGAAAACAATCACTCAATTATTAAATAAGAATAATAAGTAAAAATATGGCTCCGGCGAAGAAACACAAAATTCATGTGCTTTTAATTCACAATTTAAGAAGTACGTTCGCCACTGGTGGCTCACCATCGAGGTCAATGAACTCAACTCTAGAAAGAGTATACTGTTTGAAAGCATGGAGGTCCATGTTGTTGGTTATTCTGTAATATCTGTGAAGAACAGTGGAATGGCCGATGTTGAAAGATATTTAAAGGTATGTTGACTTCTTTTATAAACAGTTTTATGTGATTGTGATAAAAAAAATCATACGTTCTATATTCAGTTTTGTGACTTGGAAATTGATGGTTTAGAGGCCTGCACTCGTCATTACCCTACCTGGCCTAAGCTTAGCCGCCTCCTCGAGCCATTTTTTTCCTGTACTAGCTAGGGCCTAGACTAGGCCTAGGCCAACCGTCCTTAAAATACCTTAGGTCTAGACCTCAGTTAAGGTTTTTGAAGTCAAGCTACGTACACCTAGACAAGTCTATCGATATTTTAACAAGAATAAAAAAAAATAAGGTTACATACATTTTGAGATAATATTTTCTTTAATTTTTGTTTACAGACTTGTTTGCCATGATTGAACTGCATCCAAATTCCGCTCTACTTTTAGCAGCAAAGAAGCTACTAGACTACTACTACTGTTGAATACAAAATTAAACTAACAGATGCCAGAAAATTGATGTAATTACTGATATTGATATACAGTAGTAGGCCTAAGTGTAAATGAATAATGTACAATGACTAGGTCTACTGTACAGATTAGTAGATTTCGAGAATTTATGTAATTTCATGGTATTAATTTACATTGTGTAAATAAAAATGAAAGGAAGAGCAAGTTAACAGTGTGTTTGATCATTGAATGTCAAGTATTTGATATTATGGGTAGTTGAGTATTGGCTGCAACGCGACGCGCGTTGTATTTGCAGGCGGCCAAAGGTTCCCGAAAATATCTCCTGCAAATGGAGTTCTTCAACTTGGGACCCCTGTGACTATAATACTATAAAACAGAGTAATTCTTCTTCTTGTAGTCTGGTTTCCTGGTGTTGATAAAAATTATTCATGGAAAAGTAGTATAATACATACTCCAAGTATAGAAATGTACGGCGTCGTGTTGGGATTCAATATATGTCGACATTAGTTGCGATTCAATATTTCGACATTCATTCCTGATGATGATATCTTTAGCTGGTGAACTGTATAAAAGTGAATTAGCATAATCAAGTCGTGAGATGACAAGAGACCTGATCACATGGTGACAAGTAGATTCATCGATATATTTTCGGATGTGTGATATGTTTCTAAGATGATAATTAACAGACTGTCATGGATGCATCATGAGACAGTCTGTTAATTATCAACAACAATGGTCAGTCTGTTGTCAAAGATGATGCCAAGATTTCTTACATTTTGAGATGGTCTAATTGAAATATTATTCCCAAGTTTAAGCTTAA